TCCCCCACATCTTTTTCCCCCCCCCCTCCCCTTATTGTGATCTTTTTCCCCTTGAATGCGGCCCCGGTAATTCCTCCCCCCGGCGGCGCGGGGCAGCTCTGTGCGCGGCTGTTTACTTCCATCACGGGATCGGCATCGCCGGCTGTGCGAACCCGAGCGGTTCCCTTTGCGGGGCGGGAGGCGTGGGGCCGAAATCCTTGAAAAACAGCGCCGTTCCCTCCGCAGATCCCCCAGAGCAGCGCTATTTCTAACTCCCCCCCCCCCCCCCCCCCCCCAGCCCGGGGCTCTGCGCTTTGCCCCCTCCCCGCTAATCCCGTTTGCGTACAGGTGGAGCACAGCGCGGGCTCCGGGCTCGCACCGCCTGTTATGTAAAACGCACTTGAATGACAAAACTGTAGTTTTCCACGGAGCCGGGCAGGACGTGGGAGGAACTGCAGGGCTGTGCGGTGCTCTGAGCCGGACCGTGCGGTGCTGCGTTACATCACAGAACCCCCCCGGGCGGCGGGAGGTGAGCGCCGGGCTGGGGCACGACGCTGCTTTCCGCCTTCTGCCTTTAAACCACATTTATCCTTTTTATAGCCTTTGTTTTCGCGCTGGAGCTCCCGGTTCTCTCCGCTTCGCTTCGGCGTCTCCTCCTCCTCCTCCTCCTCGTTAATTTTCCCGTAATTCGGTCTTTAATTGAGGAGGCTGAGGATGGAGCCGGGGCTCCGTGGGCTCGCGGTGCGGTTTTGGCGCGGAGGAGCTGCTGTGAGCTGCCGGGCGCGCAGCTGCGCAGGGCTTAATGGAGAGATCTGCTGCAGGAACGGCGAATTGTGGAGCTCGGCGCTGCTGCCGGAGCCGATTTGTGGTGATTGAGCAACGGGGATGACTCGTGTTCCCTCTCCTGAAATGATACGGCGGCGGATGGACCGCGCAGATGAGGCTGCGTTGCTTTCTGGTGTTTTTATTTTGCGTATTTTGAAAGGCTGTGTTGGAGTCCCCATCGTCCCCCCGGAGCTCATCTGGTAACCGGAGAGCGGCTGAAATCCTGACATCACCAAAAACCTGCAGGGGGGGGAGGGTGGGGGGGGGAACCGAGCGGCTCTCCGACCAAAGTCACTTCCTTTTGCCCTGTTTATAACTGTTATTTCTGTGAGCGCAACTGCCATTATCTCATGGAGGCTCCGAACAAAAGAATGTCTCTGGAGTTTGGGCACTCCACCCTCCTCCTGCTCAGTGCTGCAGCCTCTGAGGGCTCCTCCAGGCAGGGTAGGACCCGGCGTGCAGCGGGTGGAGATAAGGCTGAGGGCTGCCAAGGAGAAGGGTGAGGGCTCAGCAGGGGGTCAAAACTCACATAGCGTATTGATGCCGGTTTTTAGCTTCTTCTGATGGATTTTGAGCCAGCTGAGGTATAAATGGGAGTTCAGTTGGGTGGAAGCATCCCAGGTGGGTGGCGTGGCAGTGGGACGGCACTTAATGCGTGTTGTGTGCTTGGAGCAGTTCTGCTGCTCAGCGTTGGGCAGCTCAGGTGAGCCGAGCAGCACCGTTTCCTCTGCAGCATTTTGTAAGGACCACAGCCCTGCTCAGAACTTCCAGGAATACAGTGTCTGTCTGGAAGGAGAAACAGAAATCGTGTCGAATCGCCGCGTGGTTTTCCCACCGTGCAGGGAGCGCCTCTGAGGATGCAGCTTTCCATAACAAATAGTTTATAGGGGATGGAGGCTTTCTGCTGCTTCTCATCTGGGCACAGAGCTGTCATGCTGTGAGTCCTGCTGCTCCAGCACTGCAGTAAACATAATGCCATTAAACCCCATGCCTTCCTCAGCCCGGGTTCAGCTGTGGGTAAATCCACGAGCGAGCTGGGAAACAAATGGCTCATTTTCCTTGTTGCTGATGGCTGCTCACCTCTTGTTTCGAGATGGAGAAATGGGTTGTGGCCACCAGGGCTTTGTTTTGGGGGTGGCTGTCAGAGCACTGTTTGGGTTTTGGGGTGGAACAGTGAGTTTTGGCTGGTGAAATGGAGAGGATAACTGCATCTGAAGGGAGGAACGCGGAGTTGCATTCAGCACAGGCAGGCCGTGGTGCCTGGTGGTGTTGAGGCTTCTGCTACAAACTTTTCAAAGTAGAAAGCTGAATGTTTTTCGAAAATCCCAACTATTTAAAGAGAAAAAAAGAAATCTATAGCATTCAGGGCTTGGTGGTGGTTTTTTTGTTTTGTTTTTGTTTTCTGTTTTTTTTTTTGACCTCAGAGATGTGAGCAGAAGGACCTTAGAGAGATTTCCCATCTGCAGCTCTATCCAACCTCACAGTCTCCTCTCTGAGATCTTTCTGACTTCCTGCTGAGGGCTGCAGTGATGGGAGGAGCTGTGTAGGCTGCCTTGCCCTGAATGAGAAGCAGCAAACGCTTGGGGCTGTAGTTGTGTCCCATAAGAAGGAGCTTGTGCTGTGTGTCAGCAGCATCTCCAGCAAGCAGCTCCATTCAGGAGCTTCATAGCAGCTCAGTTTCACTGCTGCACGGTGGTCCTTGCAGGCAGTTCTGTGCCCTGAGATCCGGGCAGCAATGAAAGCTGAGACCTGCAGAGAAGCATCCCAGAGAACTCCATCTGAAATGAGGTATTTATGGAGGCTGGCCTGACAGCTTGGGCTGATGGAGCACCTGGAGGTGCTCAGAGCCTGGGACTGGTGCTGGTCCTGCAGGGTTGGAGCACAGCATTGTGCCATTGGCCAGCGTGGCCATCGAGTTTTGGTAAAAACATTTGCCTGCCTTTGAGTGAAGGTGCCCAGAATAGCACCCAGCGAATGGAAGTGCATCTTTAAAATGAAGAGGCAATTCTGTTTTTTTGTTTAACTTGCTCTCAGAGCCCTGAGTTCAGGTTTTCATATTTCCTGGGCAGTTTGCCCAGATTACACGAAAGAAAAACAAAATCTCTCTGATACCAGCTGAGGGGGGAGACCCAGATTTCATAATTAAAGCTTGTTTTTTGTCTTTGGGAGTGCTGTCACACTGCTGCTTTCTGCAGACATCCCATTATTTTCTTACACCATGCTGCTGTTTATTTGACTGTAGCAGGCAACTTTGCTTGGAAGCACAACTCAAAAGCAGTGAGTGCTTTATCTCCAGGTGCTTTATTTACCTGCTGAAGCCGTTCTTGCTTGTGATTATTTGACTTTCCAGGCTTCGGATTGGGGAGATGACAGCCAACCTTGCTTTGTGGCTTTTGCTTTTTTTTTTTTTTGTTTTCTTTATGACATCAGGCGGATGAAACCTTTTCTGCCTCCAATTACGCAATCGATGGGTTTTATTTCTATCCAGTAAGATTTGGATGTAAGGCATCGTTGGAGGAAGGAACCTCAGGTCACTTTTTGAACTCACCAGAAGATCCCACAGCTTTTGTGGGCCTGCAAGGGAAAAATAGCAGTTTCTAGTTTGGTCTGGAGGCCTTCTGATTGGAAACAGGGGCTGCAGAAGAGGATGCTCGGTGTTAATGTCTCATAGATGCACGTTTTAGATGCAGGAGATGTTTGTGAGGCATGGGGCGTCAGGTTGGGTTGTGTCCGTGCGTTTCTCTGGGCTTAGATGGCGCCTTCCAGCCTCAGCATGAGGCGTAGTGAGAGTTTTATTCCCTTTCTTTCTCCCCATCCCTGGCACGAGGAACAGGAGGTGCTGCTGAGTGGCTTTGGATGGAGATGCGGGGAGCTCTCTGTGGGAGCAGTCCCAGCGCTGTTTGGCACGTGATGAAACCAGCCTGGAATTTCACATATGGGCGTCAGGGGTTGAAGCTTGATGGGGAATTCAGTCCTACAGAAATCCAGGGGACACAGCTCCAGGAGGAGCTCTGCAAAGGCAGACGTGGCCGCTGCTGTGGGCCATGGGGGCAGCGCTGCCTGTGGGCCGCAGGCCGAGGCCTTCCTGGCTGCACAGAGGTTCCCAGCGCTGCTGTTCCCATTGCTGGCAGCTCTCCTGGTGTCCCTGTGAGCCTTTGTTCTGTGCCTGGTCCTTTCTCCCGAAACTCCTCTCACAGAGAACAGCAGCTTCCCATGTTCTCTGTAGGCCCGTGTCCCGAGGGGCTGCGCACCAGCGTGTGCATGGAAAGCCGATTCTCCTTTTTGGGGTTTCGTTCTAAAACCAAGTTCCAGAAGCAGATGGTCTCTAAGTCAGTGTGTCAGAGGAGGGCTGTTGTGGGGCATCGTGACCCGGTGGCTGCTGGGGAGGGCAGCGTGGCTGTGTGTGAGGACCAGCCCTCCTCCTGCCTCTCCAAACAGCCCAGCGTTGCCTGCGTGCTTTGCTCTGCTTGTGATGGTGGTGATGGGAAACACAGCACAGTGGAGGTGAAGGTGATGTGGATCTGTGGCTGAGGACAGCTGTCCCAGGGCTCTGCTCCCTCGGTGGCCTCGTGGGGCTCCTGAGGAAGCGAGGGCAGCCAGGCGAGCTGCCATTCCCCTGCTTGGAGCTGCTTGCTGGAGCCTTTCATCTTCCCTCGGTTAATTAATGCTAACCGTTTTGGCAGCGCTCTAGTTTTAAATTAAAAAAATAATAATAATAATAATGATAAAATAAAAACTCAGGGATGCACTGGCGGATTTTGGGGGTGTTGTGGTGAGCTCCAGCTGCCCCATTACTGGGGATGTGTGCGGTGGGACTTGAGGTTCTGCTGCAGGTCCCACAGTGGTCCCAGTGCTCGCCCTTGGGGTGGGGGGTGCAGGGAAAGGGACCTGCAGGGTGGGCTCACCAGTCCTCTTGGAGTCCCAGGGCAGACAGGAGGTTCAGAACAGTCAGGTTGTTCTTAGAATGATGGTCAGAACTCTTGGAAACCTCTCAGAGTTCCCCAGGCTGTGTCCACACCAGTGACCCTTTGTCTGTTCCTTCTTCTCCCTGTGCTCACCTCCCCACCTCCCCTCAGTCCTCAATGGAAGTTCCTGGTGCTTTGAGTGGGGGATTTAATAGCAAACACCTCGCTCTGCTGATATCCTTTCCCCCAAAGCCTGGTCCCAAATGATCGTTAGTGTTTCTTCCAAGGGCTGTTGGTAATTCAGTGCTGCCTAGCACGCAGCTTCCAAGGACTTAAATGAAACGAACGTACACGCAGTACCTTTTGGAGGTCATCTTTAAGCTACCAGAACAAAAACTAAATAAGGGAGCCTTTCCAGGCTCCAGAATTATAAATGCTGTCCACAAAACAACGAGTGGAGGGAGGACTGCGCTGCCTTGGTGGGAGGGCTTTCTTTTTAAAGCGGTTTGCTCACCCAGAGGAAGAGGCAGCATGAAAGTTTTGCTTCCGTTTTCTACTTCTCTTTAATGCAACTGAAGTTGATGACCTACTAATTGGCTCCGGAATGCTTTTCAGACTCAGTGAAGTGAAGTGGGTGTGTTGGGTTGGATGGCTGTGCGGTGCACCAGGCAGGGGCTGCTGTGCTGTTTGGCTGTGGGTGTTTCCTAAGCTGCTCTCCATATCTTGCCGTGTCATGGTGGCAAAGAGCAGTGATCCAGGACCTTCCTTTGGAGGGCAGGGCGACGTGGAAGTGACACTCCCAGCGTGTGTGCTTTGGTAGGACACTGAAGTGGGGAAGTCCTTTATTCTCCTGCTCTTTTTTTCCCTCCTGTCCCAAGGGCGTTTTAGCTACAAGTGGAAAGTTCCCTGCAGGTTCCTCTTTGCTTTCTGCTCTGAAGAGTTATTGCCATTCTTTATTTATGGGCCCAAATGACGATGTAAAAAGTATTTTCAGTGCAACGACTGTTAAATTTTTAAGGTATGCAGTGTTCTTGTTCAGAGAGGGAAAGGTGTGTTGATGGCAAAGCAGGCAGGGTTCTGTAGGAAGGGACTTCAAGGCCTGAACCACATCTGGCATCTCTGTGTTGCTGTTACGAAAGCTTCAAATCTTTGTTTATCAGTTCCTCTGAGCGTATCCTTTCTCCCCCATCTTCTTTGGTTGTGTCATGTATCTGTGGGCCAGGCAGCTGGAGGAGGTCTGAGATGTGGACCTGGTGAGTCTTAGCATGTAGCTGAAAGTGATTTAATCTCTGCTGGTGTTTCTTTGGGAGGTAGAGCCCAGATCTGTGTGATGGAGAGTTGGGCTTTCTCTTGAGTTGCTCACATCTGACTTGAGAACAGTGTTCAGATCCCACTCGCAGGAGGACAGTGCCCATGCACCAAGTTTTGGAAGCCCAAGAGGAGTAGGATGGAGAGGCAGAGAAGCAGACAGGAATGGGATTTAAACGTGGCTCTGTTGGCTGGTTTAGGTACCTGCTGACACTGGGGAGCAACCCTGGTGCAGCTGAACGAGGCCCAAACCAAACCGAACTGCTAAGTTTTGCTCATTCACCATCTTTAAACTTGAGATAGTCCTCACTTATCCTATAAAATGCTGTGTTAATTTGGTCATTGGGGTGCGTTAATGAGCAGCTACAACAAGCTTATGCAAATTTATGTGAAGTTAGAGGATTGGCATATCAGACAAGGCATCAGTGCAGTTCCTTATTGTTAAATTGACATTGGAATAGCTTGTGGGAAGTACTGCTCAACTTCTGCAGCACAAGGAGAATGAAGTGAGTGCTGTACGACAGAAAAGCAAGTCCTGTAGGTGATGTGAATGCTGTTTGAGCAGAAACAAAAAGGCATTCAAAGGGCTGTCACTCCTTGGTGGTAAAGAAAGTAGGTAAATGACCAGGAGCTCACTGTCTAAGGGGGGAAAAAATTGCAGTACATGTGAATGAAGTGTCTTTGGTTGTTTCTTGTAACTGATTTGATGCCTTTCTGTTATGGTCAGTGCAGAACTGCTCTGTCATGGTGTGAGTTAATCTTTATCCATCATTTTTGAAAGAGAAATAGGAGCAGCTGACACTGGAAATCACCTGGCCTGCTCGGAAATGAACTTCTGGGAAAGCAGGCTTCATGCACACCGGGGAGCTGACTTCCCTGAAATCCGACAGTGGGTTTGCCAGAGGATGTGGAGTTGTGGGGTTTCTTTAGCCGCTGGGAGTTGGAGCAGATGGAGATTTGTTCCCCTCAAGGCCTTTCTCTTACGTGTTACGATTCTTGTTTGTCACTGCTTCTACCTGAGTTGGCACTAGTAGTAGCGAGGCGCATTCTACAGGCATAACCCAAGGATTTTAAAGCAGCTGCTGAGCTGGGCAACGGGGAATGGACTGTGGTACCTGGGTTGGAACCGTTCCTGAAGGCCTGCTCAGTGGGTGCTCTGGGGGATCCTTGGGACCGGTGCCACTTCTGTCTTCGCCTGCCTGGTGGCTCTGCTGGGTGCAGGGCTGCTGGTGGCACGGGAGCGTGGGATCAGCGTATCTTGTTGCTATTGCCTTGCTTATGGTGCTGCCTCTGAGTGCACGGCTTAACTTTCTCTTTCTCCATCCCTTTCTGCAGGCTGTCCTCGGGAGAGGCAGTGGGAGGCAGTGGAGCTGGCCTCGGCACCGGGAGAGGCTGGACTTCCCGTCTCTCTGTGCTGAATGGCTGCGATGGCGCCCGCTCTCACTGACGCAGCAGCTGAAGCTCACCACATCCGATTCAAGCTGGCTCCCCCGTCCTCCACCTTGTCGCCTGGCAGTGCCGAGAGCAACGGCAACGCCAACAACATCCTCCTGGCTGCCAACGGCACCAAAAGGAAAGCCATTGCTCCGGAGGATCCCAGTTTAGATTTCCGAAACAACCCCACGAAGGAAGAGCTGGGCAAGCTGCAGCCACTAGTGGCCTCTTATCTCTGCTCGGATGTAACATCTGTCTCTTCAAAAGAGCCTCTGAAGCTGCAAGGAGTCTTCAACAAGCAGACAGTCCTTAAATCTCACTCTCTATTATCTCAGTCCTTCTTGAAAACGAGTGATCTGTTGGGGAGGCAGCCGGTGTTGGAATTTACTTTGGAGAACCTAAAAACAATGAGTACTAATAGCCAGCCACCTCTCCCGCAAGCGCCTGTGAACGGCTTGGCCAAGAAATTGGCCAAAAGTACCAATTCAGACCATGAAAACCCTAGTGCTCTGAACGGTGGGAAGTGTGCTTCTCCTGCTGCTGCCCTCCAGGGCGTTGACTATAATGCAGGAGGTTCTGAACTGGGGGATTTGAAGGCCGGGTTGACCAATTGCACTCTTCCACACAGAAGCCTTGATGCGGAACGCACGACTCCTTTTAGCAATAATAGCACCGCAAACAAATCTTCCCTTAATTCCACGGAGCAGCAGCAGGTGCTGGAGGGTGGCAGTGGAGAGACGAGGTTGCCTGGGGTTGGTGGTCACTCGGAATTTGGGAGCGGTAAGTTGGAGGAGCAGAAACCTTCTCTGTCAGCCGGCCATCACAGCGCTCTCGACTCCGAGATGAGGACGAGGGCCTTGCTGCGACGGCAGGCAGACATTGAGAACCGGGCTCGGAGGCTGCAGAAACGTTTGCAGGTGGTGCAGGCGAAGCAGGTGGAGAGACACATCCAGCAGCAGTTGGGCGGCTTCTTGGAGAAAACTCTGAGCAAGCTTCCGACTTTGGACCCTGTGAGGCATCGCAGCCAACTGATGTTGACCAGAAAAGCAGAAGCAGCTTTGAGGAAAGCCGCGAGTGAGACAGTTACTTCGGAAGGCCTAAGCAGCTTCTTGAAGAGCGATTCGATATCGGAAGAACTGGAGAGATTCACAGCCAGTGGCATGGCCAACTTGAGATCCAGCGAACAGGCGTTTGACTCGGATGTCACTGACAGCAGCTCAGGAGGGGAGTCTGACGTTGAGGAGGAGGAACTGACCAAAGCAGATCCAGAGCAGCCCCACGTACCTCTGTGAGTAGCAGTCGTGCTTTGCTTCCTTCTGGCACAGTGAGCTGAGGGGTGGCAGGTGGAGAACCTGGGTGTTACAGGGATGTGTTTTGTTGGGTTTCAGTTGAAGCGGTAAAGGTTAAAACTGGTTAAAACGTGGTGTGACTTGTGGCTGCTTCCTAGTTCAGCTCTGAAGACATTCTTCGTGCCCCTGGTTGTGTTTTAGTCCTGGACACGCTGCCTGCAGCAGCTGGAGCAGCAGACCCAAAATACTGGAACCAGTTGTGTCTGGTTGCTTGCTTGTGCATTGGACCTGTCCCCTGAAACCTTTGTCTTTTCACAATGGGAACCTTTGTTGCAAACCGAGGCAGAGTTCTGTGTTGTTTTATGTTTTGTTAAACTGCTCGGGGGAGAGAAAAGTCTCTGCAAGGATTTGGTGAAAGTGTGAAACGAGTGTGTTGTCTTCCTTCATCTCCGAGAGGTTACTGGTGGGAATCTTTTATTTGTGAGTGGCATTAAGTGGTGACAGCAGCCTAATGTGGTGTTGACTGGATGCTGTTTGCATAAGTATTAGCTGTGAGTTTGTGTGTATGGAGGAGGAAAATCATCATCAAGGGGAGAGGCCTTGACAGGTCAAGGAACACGAGAAATTCTTCCAAAGAAAAGCATTTTTCCCTGGGAGAGCTTATCAAAGTACTCAGAGCAGATCTCCGAAAAGGCCGTGCTCTGTGTTTGGGCTGTGTGAAATGCTGCTTGCAGCTGTGCTCCGTGCTGGCTGAGCTCAGAGCTCAGCCTATGGAGCACGGCTGCCACTGACTGTAAGCTCTGCAGCCCAAATGGCCCTCTGGAACGGGGAGCTTGTTGGCACCCCCACCCTGTTGGGGGTTTGCTCAGATCTCTATGGAAAAATAATTGCATGAGTTTTGATACCTGTTGTCCAAAGTGATGCTTGTGCTTGGTCTGTGCCATGACAAATACATGATGCTCAGTACCTCGAGCGTCCCCCCAAAAACCCACCCACGTGGATGAATGGTGATAAACATGATGTGTGTAACAGCTCTCAAATACTGAATTCTAGCTAAACTGCATATTCTGGGATGTTAGCAGTTTGTCTGGGATGGATTTCTGTATGGCTTGAGCATGTGTGTGCTGGTTGGATGTAGGGGCACCCTGCCCTCGTGCTGTTAGAGATGAGTTCAGTAGTGTTACTCCTGCTTTGTAATGCCTGCAAGCTGTCGGGATTAGTAGCAAAATGGAGTTTATTGCTATTGCAGTTACTAGAGGCAGCATTTGACAAAGTTTTGTGTCTTAGGTAATATTAAATTTCCTATGTTACGGGTTCGTGTGTTGTCTAGCAAAGTGAAATTTCCTTGCCACTCATCCTAATCCCAAGTGGAAGCGTGGTATTCAGAGACATGATGCGTGAAATCCTTTGCTGACTTCTCTGCCCTCTGTGTTAGTCATGCCTGTACGTTCCCCAGCCCCCTTTAAAAGCCAAAGATTTTAAAGCCAATAAAGAGTGCTCCTTCTGTTGTGTGCAGTGTCAGAAGCTGCTGCGTGAGCGTGCAGGCATCCAGGTCAGGCCCACCAACCCTCCTTTAAAGTTGGTGCCTGTGGGTGTTCAGCAGTTGCCTTTGCAGCATCGACTGTCCTGCTGGCACGAGTGCTTTGACGTTGGGTCTCGTGAGCTCTGGTGCTGTTGAGGCTCAATGCACATTTGTGCTTGTGACTGGAACTCCTGAAGTCAGCCCTAGGAGCTGGTGCATCCCAGCACGTCTAAATAGCCTTCTTCTCAAAGCAGTCGTATGAGATAGGAGACAGGAAGGGGAAAGGCTGATTTTTCCACTGGGAAGCTGCCTTGGGCAGCTCCTTGGATGTACAGAAGCATTGTGTGAGTGCAGAAAGCCAAGCCTTGTTGCAGGGTTGCTCAGATACAGCTGGATTTTGCAGCTAGCTGAATTTCCTTATTAGAGGGAAGACTTTTTTTATTATGTTTATTCAGAATTCCAATAGCAGACAGTATATCTTGATGGTGCCTAACGACTTCTGCTTCATCCCTTGGTTCTGTTCCTGGCTGCTCCTTCCTTCCCCCAGGAAACTCCTTGCTGGCTTGGAGCTCCCTAGGCAGAGCAATGCTGTGAGTGCTGCCCTGCAGCCCGCTTGCAATAAGTGCCTATGGGATCCGAGTAGAAGCATGCAAAAGAAACAAAGACCTGTTTACATCAAGCTTAGATAAGAGCTGACCTTTGAGTTTTTCTGGCACAGTGGCATTCCAGAAACGGCATCTGGTCAAGGACAGACGTGAAGCATTCGCCCTGCTGTGTCCTGCCTGCTCCTGCCCACGGAGCAGGGGTTGCATCCTTCCAGCAGAACTCAGGAGGTCCTTTTGGAGCGCTCCCAGAGCTGCTGCCTGGGAAGGTGCTGTCATTCAGGCAGATAACCAGGCCATCGTGTAATGCATAAACAAAGCAGGGAGGTTTTCGTTACACCTTTTTTGGGAAGCCCTGCCAGCCTTGGGCTTGGTTTAATAAGGCACTCTGGAGTCTCACACAGCTGATGCAGAAAGAAAGGGCGTGCAGGTTAGGTTGCTTCACAGTGCATTTACACTAAGATGGATCAAGGACCACCACATGGTTTCATTTGCTCCCGGATTAATGATACACAACCACGTGTGTCTGTAGCAGCTGCCTTCCTCAGGCTGGTTTCTTTGTATTGCATTTGCCTGTGGATGAGTTTCATCAGATCTCTGCAGCTATTTCTGGCTGATGAGTTACCTGTGTCAGGCAGCCCTGTGGTCATCAGCTGGGAAGTGATCAGTGAGTTGCCCTTGCAGTCTCCAACTTGGGGCTGACGTTCACAGAAAATATTCCTGAAAAGGTGATGGAAAGAAATACTGGATGGGAGCTTCACTTCTTTAGTTCAGACCTCTCACCTGCAGGTTGCATCGAGCCGCCTGGGGCGAGCTGGAGGCTTCACTGACCAATTCCCAGCAGCTCCTGCAGGCTCAGGCAGTGCCCTGGCTGCAGCCTGGTGGTTGCAGTGCCTGCAGTCAGGATGCTGGAGCACGCTTTGTAATTACCCCGTGTCATAGTGGGAAATCCGAGCACCTTCTGCACTGCAGTGTTGCAGTGAATCACTGCACAGCTGGTGTGCTGGCTCCTCCCTGTGCTGCCTGGCTGGGCTTGGAGGGGTAAGGAAGGTGTTTTGCTCCTGCACTGGGGCATGGCACCCGTTAGGGGCTGTGTGAAGGGAGGCTGTGATCAGTGGGTCAGTTGGCTGAGCAATCAGAATTCTGAAATTCTGGTTTTTCTCCCTTCCTTTTGTTTTCCACGTTGAGTGAGATAAGGAGGCCCCTATCTCCAGGCCTGTAAATAACATCTCTGTGTCAGTGGCATGGATCCCACGCTGCACAGTGAGGAAGTTTTCCCTATGGATCACCAACGTGCTTTGCTCTCATTTACTTAGAACAATTGTCAGTCCATCTCTTGATGACATTTTGTCACTTCCTGGCTTGTGCTTACATGGTGTGTTTCTTATCCTTGACTTCCAGCTGTGTTTGTAGGTCCTGACTGCAGCACTGCTCCTCACCCAATTGTGAGCATCTCTGTGTCAGAGCTGAATTGCTTGCAATCACCTCTGCTCAGCAGCAGTACATTGGTTGGGGTGATGCCCCTCAAACGACTTTCATCTGAGGAGGGGGAGAGAGAGAGAGAGAGAGCAAATCCTGAGCGTGTGCTTGCTTTGCATGTGAAAGCAGAAGAGCAGAGAGCAGTTCATTGTTCAAAAACGCTTAATCAGGTATCCAGAGTAAGTAGGACACTCTGCCAGTCCCCGTTGCTTTTAAGAAAAGAGGGCGCATGAGAACACTGCTTGGAAAGGATGGTGAGGAAAAATGAGTGCTGTTTCTCGTGGAAATCACAGCCGTGCTCACCTTGTGGAGGTGCAGGGGATGCTGAGCACTTGCCTGAGCTGCTTGACTTTATCCCTGCTTGGTCCCTGTTGTGTGCAGGGTTTGGGTGTCTGCTCAGCGCTCACGTTGCTGCCCGCAGAGCTCGTTATGGTAGTGCTGGCTTCCATCCTAAGGGGAGTTTGATGCCTTGGGTTAAATATATCTTTCTGGGCTGAAGTTGTGTCACAGGGGGAGGTCACAAGCAGAGGGTGCTGGGCTCGGGGGCGGAATGCAGCAGAGCACCTTCCTGGCAGCATTCTGAGTGTGCTGGAGGCATGCTGAGCTGCGGGTGCTGTGTGGAGCAACAGCAGCAGCCCCTTGGGGTCTGGCACTGCCTGTACATCGTGCTTTGTCTGCCCAGCCCCTGATATGGTGGGGGCAGCGAGGAGGAGGGGGCTGTCCCTCAGATGTGGTGATGCATCGGATGGGTTTGAATAAATATTTGCTTGACTTTTCATTGCAATAAGTCCCACCGTGGCATCTGAGGGAGCAGAGCAATGTTTGTGAATGCAAACTGGTGTTACAGGACTGGCGTGGCAGCTTGTCTGCTTTCCCGGAGCCTCCTGTGAAGTTGCAGTTAGCATTTTAGCAAGGGGAAGGGGCCCTGTTTGGAGCTGAGCTCAACTACTGAGCTCTGAAGCACCTGCCTGGGGATGGGGAGCCGACCTGGGTTGTGTTACACCGCATCTGTGAGCACAGAGATGCGTTTTTGTCCTCTCTGAAGCCGATCCAAGATGAAAAGTGACAGTGCCTGGCATTAAAAAGTGGAGGAATGGCAAAAGTGGGCTTCCTTAAAGAGACCACAGAGGTGCGCTTTGCAGATGTGCTTCTTCTCCCTGCAAGACTTTGGCTTTCATTATGCAGCAGCGTTGGCTTCTTTCCCCCTCCTTTGTTCTCCCTTCCAGCAGCTCCGTCCGCTGAGCTCCTTCCAGCCTGGGAAAGCATTTCTCTTCCTTTGCTCATTTACCTCCCCCTTCCCCCCCCTGACTTTTCCACGTGCTGTTTTGGGCACACCCTGGCTGTGAGCATCTCCTTCCCAAGGCTTGGAGAGCTGCACGGCTCTGCTGGGCCGTCC